TTCTTCCCTGTAGGATGTTGTGCAGAGTCATCTCTCAACGTCTGAACTCGGATCACTAACACAAGTCAAATACCCTTTATTTGCTGAGTTAAATGTCAGTTTATCTTATTCACTAGCACCATGACAACCCATCACAGACCAGACAAGATTATTGAGTGGAAGAGAAACCACTTTATTTGTCTTAAAAGTTATAATCCTTAAGACTTTCATGAAATCAAGCATCGTTTTGATACTTTATGGGCAGTGTTTTTCATGAACTGCCAGTAAATGTATTTGCATTCAGTAGGTACTTCTCTATATAGTAGTTTGCACTGTTAATGGTGGAGTCTGCCATTCAAGTCGCCCTCACACACATAGAATCCAGTGTTACTATTTGTAGTTTTATTTAGTTGACACAATCTGAGCTGTTAATTTATTTCATTGCATTTTAATAGGATGCCTCAATTTTTCCTGTGAAGAATAGTAGAAAATAGAATCCCTCTTTGTTTTATTTTTTTCATTAAAAAGCTTTTATGTTAAAAACATCGAGGAGGTGGAAATGACCTGTAATCTACTACAACAGCTCTAATGGAAAATTTAGCATAATGTACATTTCCACAGTACTAATTCCATTAGTACAACAGAGTCGTGACGTACTCCACCACTGCTGCTCAGTTTCGTCTTTTTACACTAAAATTAATTCCAGTTGTTTCTTTTTTGCTCCTGATGGATGTAACGCTGCCATCAACAAAGCTCAAAACTCTACCTACAGAGGGAAAGCTGCAAGACCTTTAATCTGAAAACTCTGGAGGAAGTGTTGAGTTTCTTTCATAGTAGCGTAACATGATTCCGGGAACAGTGTGAACATTATGCTTGCTGTACCAATGGAGTTACTGCTGTTACATGACGGAAGTTTTCAGTTCGCATTAACTTGAGAACATGCAAAATTAGAAATTGTATATTTTATGTTTTGCCCTGGCCTTTATTTGGGACAAGCCTTTATTTGTTTGGACAGACAACACTGTAAATTATACAGTAGTCTTTAGGACAGTGCATAGTTGGCTTGTCCTAATTGGCTGTACATTGTGAGACTTGCCTCAGCTAACATCAGAGCTGCACTTTGTCATCGCCAGCTGTGCTGATAAGAAATGCTGATAGCAGTTTTAAATGCATACATTTGGAATAGTACCACTTTATCATTTAGCATTTAGATGTGTGTTGTATGAATTTAAGAAGAGATCTATTAGCTGACCACTCAAAGGCTATACAGTACAGGCTAGTGAATATTCTTTGACCTGAACATCACTGAGAGGTTCAGAAACATGTTGAAGGCTTGAAACCACTTTCAGTCTGTTCTCAGTTCATATCAAGCTGGTATGGAGGCTTTGTTAGCTGGTATAGCCTGTGATATTGGCACTTGTGGGTGTTTCTGACTTTTGTGTGACTGGAGACACAGTATCATCACTGCAGCTCTAAGCCCCGGCTCTTCTGTATTTTTAAATTCTGCGCCACTGCAGGATGTATGTTTTTTGTTTCTTGCCATGCCACATAGTTTTATTCTGACATTCAAGTGTATTACATATAATGATGCACTTCCCAAAAGATAAACACCGATTTGAATGAAATCTGAGTTGTGTGGCCATCCTCCGTCCAGCTGTGGTGGCAGGCAGGCAGTCAGACTACTGTACTTTTCTCCCACTTCCAGTAAATGTATTTAAAGGAGATTACAGATGTGATCCAGACAAAAAAGCAAACTCCCTGCTACTGTCTGACTGTTTGTCTGTAGTAGGGCAGGGAATAGATCTTGAGGTTGTAATCTCAGCGGACACGGGTAATCACATTGTCACTTCCATCAATACACTGGGATGAAAAGAAAGCAAGATACCTTGAGCAGTTATTTTCGGTGCTTGTTGGAAAAGTTCCTGTCCTCTTCAGTGCCTGCAGAAATGCACCGTTTCATAAATACCTTTTTGAAAAAAGCTCATTCACTGCATATCATGTTGTGAAATTGATATTGGAAAAAATATAACTTTTCAATTCCAAAGGTGCACAGAGGCATATTTATGGATTCATGGAAATTTTATGATTTCTGTTCATCTGGATCTGACAAGACAAAACCCTCTCATGTCTGTCTGTCAAATCAAAGAGGATAACATACGCATCCAGATTTGCTCCAGGCCCAGTCTATTCAAGTACACTCCTGTTTGACTTTGACATTCCCAAGTTTGTGTGATTCTGCTGAATGAGACTGAACTCTGCCCAAGAAAACAGCAGTTACATTTTGTGAGCCAGGTGCCAGATATGGCATACATTAATGACGTTTAATTAATGCTTAAAACAAGACTGAACTGTTACAGTGAGCTCATGTGTATAGAATCCACTCCTGAAGAGCCAAACAAACCTATGACATGGTCCTGGTGTAGCCTGCTGGAGGCTATGCGAGCAGAAACACAGAACGTGCCTGCAGTCTGCAGCTTACTGTAGCACTGAATCTGGATTCCAGATTCCACAACCACTGGCTTCCTCCTCTGCTTGCAGTTTTTTTTAATGCAACTGAGTTTGACTACGCTTCAAGCTTAGTTGTCTAGGGCTACATAGGCCCTAAGGCCATGGACATTTGTCAGCACATGAAAGCAATGCTCTTAAGCAAACTGAAAGGGGAAAAAAAAATACCAAGATTAGGCTTTCGCGTCACTAGTAGTGCAGTTGTTGTCAGGATCTGCCACAGCCTGTTGGAGAGAATTAGACTCAGGTTGTTCTGAAGTCAGTGAGGAAGTAGGAAACAGAGCAATGAAAAGGAAAGGAGGATTTGTTGAACTAGTTGTCTCCATTCAGTTTACGTTCATTAAAGCTAATCGCAGTTAATTAGCCGGGTGGAGCAGACTCCCAGTCCTACGGTGCAGGAGTCCAGCTGCCAGGCAGATAACAATGCCAGCAGCACTGAGCCCTGCACAAGCTCCCCCTGGTTTTGGGTTTCATTCTTACTGGCACCAGAATGAGAGACCCCATGACTTCTGGGCTGGCCCTTCTTCACTAGCTTTACTGGCTTACTAACAGATTGTAACACACTAGATGGCTGTTCCCTTCTGGCTGTCACATTTTCAAAAAGACAGTTTTAAATTAATTTGAACTGACACTTAATCTGTTTGAATTAATTCAAATGACACTCGTAAAACGTTGCAGTCACAGGCTGTAGCTTTTTGGTTTAGTTTGTTTTAGTTTGAATATTTAGTTTTGTTTCCCATGTTTGAACACCAGATCAAAGAGATGGTTTGATTTGTATTGAAATTTGTCATCCCATCATAAATCATACCACCACCTCCACAGCCCTCCCACCCTGCCACACATCCTTTATCCGTTACTGTTGCACTGTTCCACTAAAATCTCAAGCTATCGGATTGATATTTTCCCCATTCACCTGTTACATTAACTGCTTGATACATCTCTTCCTGCTTGGCAAACATTTCATTTTAGTAACACATCCAAGACCTGACATCCAGACTGGAAAGCTCCCTCTGTACCATGTCAGCTCCACAGGCATAGAGAGCAGCAAGCTTCTGCCACAGCCTCCCTCTGTTTCTCTTGTTGTGTTGTATTTTTTACAGGCTGTAAAAGCACCAAAGCACAAAAGGCCTCCTCATCAAGTCTGACGTTCCCCTGGACTCTGCCAGAAGTTTTGTAAGAAATGAAAAACATAGTGTGAAACATACAAGTCCTGCCCTGCTTAACGCCATACAACGGCATGGCAGCCAATTGGGTGGGTTCGTAATGAGGGATTACACGGATGGCTGAGTTTGTGATGCTGTCGGTGTCATAAGGAACAGGTTAAAGTGTGTGCTGTGTCGAGACACACATCTACAAACAGGCAACACACACAGACGGTGCTGTGTAACTTGTGGTTGCTGGAGTTGTTTGTAGGACAGTATAATCTGAGAGAGGGTACTTCAGGTTTGTTTCTGCAAATCTGTGTGCATGCGTCCAAGTGTGTTCATTTAACTCATCAGGGGGTTTGTCCCATTTGGAGTGTTTTGGCCAACTTCATTCTGCTTTGTCTCCATGGGAAGAGGTCAGAAGCCAATATAGAGACACGAGTCATGGCTTGTTTTGCACTCAGGCCAAATTGCCTGAGCATTGGCCTTCTCTCTGAGGAGCCTGAATGAACCTTTTTTGCTTGTCAGGTACAGTAATAGAAATAAAATGAAGCTGTTTGACCACCTCTAAAACAACTATTCTACACTTGATGTCCCAGTCAATCCACTTCTTATAGTTTTGGAAACTGGGGGGTATGCACAAGGACTCATAAAGGTTATACTAGGTGTCTATAGTTCTGTGAGCGAGAGGGTTGTTCAGGGTTGCCAAGAAGACAGCTGATGTTGGTTTGCAACAAATCCCTTTAGACCAAACTGCCGAGCCAAGGAAGTGTCTGTACTTGATTGTTTGAATGTGGTAAAAATTATGAAACTCCCTCAAATTATAAAAGCAGAATGTGCAGGCGTAATGCGTTTAAATCAGCATGGTAACAAATGGCAACAATTGTACAAATTAAAAAAAAATAAATAAATAAATAAAAAAACGTATCTACCCTCCGTCTCTTCTCTATATTACTGAACATTACTCTCCTCACATCCTAAACAATACCTGGAGGACCTTAAGTGAAGATTTTTTTGACGACAGACTGTTGTTTTGTGGCCACACTGTTTCTATTTTCCCGCTCACTTAGTTACACTGCTGGCAGTGATTTACTTTCTGTTGCAACTGTGCAATAGAAACAGGGTCCCATCTTTTTATCATAGAGTCCAGTGCATTAAAAGGTAGGTGATTGTGCTTCCTCTGGTAACCCACTCTTAAAGATTCAAAGTCTTGACTGAACGTACTGCTGACATGCTACAGCCCATACAGTCACAGTCTGGACATTTAAGCTTGGTTTCCCTGCCAGAATGAGTCTGGTTTGAGCGCTGACAACATTGCGACAAGAATGAGAGTAGTTTTTCCTCATCTGTGTTATTTTTTTCTTCCTGCAGGAGGAGTGCTTCCTGAATCTGGAGGCTCCCATCAGTAGGGTCTGTGGTTACGACACACCCTTCCCCCATATCTTTGAACCCTTCTACATCCCCGACAAGTGGAAGTGCTTTGATGCGATCAAGAGGATGATCAACTACTGAACCCCCGTCAGGTAGAGAGATCTGACAGCCTCCTTTGAAGTTAATTTGTGAATGGACACAAAGTAATTTTTATTCAGTTAGTGTATATTTAAGCCTGTCAACAACTGCCTTATAATCTGCTTCATTTGTGCCAGTAATGTAGTTGTGACGACATGAAGAGGTGACTTCATTACAACCCCAAATGTTTTCCTACCCTACTACTAGACCACTAACCAAGTGGGATTGCCTTTTATTTCCCAGCTCACATTGGTTTTTATCTGTCAAATGGAGTAAATACTAAATAAAAAAATTACATTTGACCATATAGTTAAAGAGGATATTGTAGTGGTGGTTTGCACACAGGATAAAACTATACAGAAAACTGTGTGGGAGCATTAAAAGATGCATGCTCCAAATTTGAGGTGGTGTTGCTACTGGCAGTTACTTACACTGACATTAAATTTGGCCATGATGTAATAATGATGGAAGTTTGCAGCATGTCGCCAGGCAGCCAGCAGCAAGAGCTTAAAATATTTATTCAAGATAAAAAAAAAGTTAAATACAGTTTATAAAAAAAAACAAAAAGAGAAAAAAATCAAGGCAGCATTCCAGCCATGAAATACTGAATGATGTTAGTGGACTTGAGAGAGGCGCATGAAAAAAAGACGGGTCGAAATCAATGCAATAGAGTTTGAAATATCCCGACTTTTAATGTGGGTCAAGTTCCAAAAACACTGGTGCCTTCATTTTCCATTATGCAACTTGATGGAGTCTTTCGTTACACCCTACCTGACTGGTAAATCCTCACATGGGGGCGCCTCGACGGTTCACCTGGTAGAGGGCGTACCATTAAGGCTTAGTCCTTACTGCAGCTGTCCTGGTTTGATTCCGACCTGTGGCCCTTTGCTGCTTGTAATCCCCTCTCCCAGCTTTCCTTTCTCTCTCCCACTGCAGCTAGAATAAAAACATAAAAAAGCCAAAAAAAAAATGCCTGCTGTAAAAATGACTGCAACAGTCAGAGTTTTAAGGTTTTATCGTATTGAGAGCAAATTTCACTAATGATTGTTTTCATTGATGTTTAACTTGCAGATTATTGTCTCACTTTAATTTGTTTTTTTACAGAATGTCCAAAATGGTAAAAAAAAAAATAAGCCTTTTACGGTTCACCTCTTCAAGTCAGTGCTCGCTGACAATCGAAAAACCCAAAGATATTCAGTTTAAACACCACTACACAAAAAACTGAACCAGTCTTCATAACTAAGTCAAAGTCTACAGTCCTGAATGGAAACTAATTTGGCACATTAAAATGTCAGTAGTGCAAAGTTTGTATTCCTGTAGTGTTTGTGCAACAGCGACATCCAGAATCGAAACTGTGTAGAATGATCTATTAGATTTTTCAGTAAACATTTAGGAAACACTGAAGCCACATTCCTCATACGCCTTTTGAATTGTCCCAACAAATGCGTATTGTCTGTGTCTTGTTGTGTACAATAGCAGTGGACAGCACCTGAATTCACTGGAAAATTCTATTAGTAAGCGTTACAGAGGCCAGTAGCAAATTGTTGATATATCACTCAACCGTACAAGCCTTCAATGTGCTCAGGGATGTGTTTACTCTATGTGGACATGCTTCCTTGACTCTGAAGCCCCTCGATGTGAAGCTCAAGTGTCTTTAGGATTCTGAGGCATCTGTTTTGGGTGGATACACACCTGTATTTAAAGCTTCTGACTTGTATCAGACCACCCAAGACTGATTTTAGTGGCAGGTGTTAACAGCACCTACACGTCATTGGATATGCCCCACTGAGTTGTGTCACCCCATGCTGCTATCTCATTGTTGGTTGGACTATTTACTTTCATTAGTTGCAGTAGTGCTGAATAATTCCTTTTTGGACAGTCAGACTGTTTTGTAATCCCCCTTTAATTGTCAGTGTCATCTTTAGTCATAGCCATTAAAACTTTGGCCTCAATGAATAAAGAGGAAGGAGCCATTAATAAAATACTTAATTGAATCCAACATGTCACCTCTCATCTTCACTGCTCAGCATCTCCATCCAGCTCGACTTTTCCTCCTCGTCTGCCATCTGCTGTCACGCCAAGTTATTCTCTTTAACTCACTGAACCTCTCTCCTTTTCCAGGGCCAACTTCTGGTAGTCCTGAACTCTACGCTCTCCCCCTTTTCCTCCTCCTTCATCCAATCAGTGGAGAGCAGCCAGGAAAAGACACTTTGTTGACCATCCAATCAGGAAGCAGTATCCAGATGGGCTCCGTGTCCCTCTGTGTCATCCAGCTAAAAGACTGTTACATTAACTCTGGGTTAGGGAACCTCCCTCTGTGGCAAGGGAAACTGACTTGATCCAGTCTATATGAAGAAACTCTCAAATTTAATTTCCTCTTAAATAAAAGTTGAATACTGTGGGGGAAACTGTATTTGGTTGCATTTTGTGACTATCTGCCTTTCTGTGCTGTTACTTTAGATTGATTGTGTCCAGCAGTGCTCTAATCTTTATTTAGTTTGACATGAACTGAAACTTATTGTACTAAAAATGGATTTGTGGTTTTTAAGGAAAATAAAATTATCAGAGTAGGTATGGTGATTTGCATTGCTTCAAATTTCTTGGGATTTTTACTGCATCATTTTGGCAGCAAGACACAAACAAGTTACTTATCCTACACTTCTGGTCACATGATTAAGAGAAATTTATATCTTACCAGACTGGTAAAGTCTGAATTTTATACATTTTCTGATTTTTACAGCGCCAGGACCTGTTTTACAACACGCTGAACACATTGCATTATATAGTAATTTATCAGTAAGCTGATCGCTCCATTCTGTCCATAGGGGAAAAAACGAACAAACGCTTTTCATTTAAAGTACTTTGATTTAAAGATTTAAAACTGTAAAACTGCATTACATCATGGCCACTGTCTGAACTTTTGTCCTCCTGTAAAGTTTAAAGGCCTTTCCATTTTATCACTGCTTCCATAAGAAAATTGTCTTTCCTTGTTAAACTCGTTGTTTATCTCTTACCATTTAAAATTTCACTATGAGAGCCATAGACTCAATCCTCTGTCCATCTGCTGCATGTGTTTCTGAGAAATCATGGGTAAACTATTACTTAAACAACCATGAAAACTGCCCGTCAGAAACTGGAGGTCTGCCCGTGCCTCCATTAACAGACGCTGGCGAAAAACAAATGGTGTCCACAACCGCTCTGCCACTCATACAGCTAGTGTGTGTGCAGGGAATGCAAGCGTGTTAGGAAAATCAACAGTGGAAGTGTAAAGCCTGTTAACTTCTAGAAGAAGCAGTGTTTATAACACTGTGGCAGAATTAGATGGAGTGATTATATACTGACAGCCACAGAAAATCTTCAGGGGGGTAAAAAATGAAACATCAGGATGGCATTTAAGCAAAGAATCAACAAATTTAAACAACTTCTCCTCTGCAGACAATGAATGTGCTCAGCAAATGTCTTGGAAAGATTTTATAATTCATGTGTACAAGTGGAAGTTTTGCTCTAAGGGTGAGGCAAAAATCAGTTCATCTTTCTTTGACTATGATTATTTACAAAGTCTCAGGGTATATCAGTCATTTTGTTCCATTAGTTACCTTCTTGAAAGTTAATAATTTGAGTTTATCACCTAAGTCGACCAATAACCTCTGGGGAGTTTAAAAAGTCTCAATAAAAACTAATTTTTGATTTTCCCAATAAATCTTGAGACATGTTATATTATAAAATATGTGTCCAGAGTTCCCAAGGTGGTGCTCGAGAGAAGCTCGAAACAATGAGCTAAACGAGGCTAAAAGCTCTGTAGAGCTGGGTTTTATTTCACAATGGCATTTTGCTTCAGTGTTCATGTGAAGCATAAAGCTGTATTCTTTTTTTTTTTCTTTTTTTTTTTTTAGCATTTTTGTATCATCACCTCATAATGTTATTGTGTGTTAGCAAACTTGCCTGATTATACATCAAGCTGACATGTAGCAACATTAGCATTCATTTGAAGTCATGTTTCTGTGCCACCTGGCCAACATAAGTATTTTTTTTTTTTTTTTTTAACTGTACTATCACCTGAGAGAAACGACTTACTCTTTAGCAGCTAAATTCTTCAATAGATCGTTTATGAAAGTGGTCTCAGACTTGGACCCCTGCTAAACATATTCATTCACTGCCTGTTTGTCCTTTTAGTGCTGGATAAGTAGTGCACACTGGGTTTATCAGAGCTTGCAGAGCCAGCTGCCTGGTGCGGCCGGGAAGAGGTTGATGCTGCAAATAAACCAACGACATTAAAGCTTCAGGCTGTGAAAACCAAAAACAATGAGCTGATGTTGAAACACTTAGTATAGCTGAGGGGAACTGGTGTATTTTTGATAATTCACTGTGAGATACCCCATTCACATTAAACATAGTCATTTGATCCATTGTTAATATAAAAATGTTGATTAGTGCAGCTTTAATGCAGGTTCAATGGGGCTGAACTGGCATCAAACCACATTAGTTTTATTTTAAAGTTACAGCTGTGAATCAGACAATCTGCTGTCATTGTATCCCAGGTGTTTTTCAGTTATTCACTGTCTGTGGAGCAGCTGCATTTCCCTCTGGATTACATAATGGCCACAGTCTGTCCTGTCCAAATTGATAAAAGGAATTAAGCTGTACAATGGTGAAACAACTTAAATGATATATCCAGGTGCTTAAAATGATCTCTTAATTTTCTCTTAGCATTTTGTAAATTAGTGTCACAAGAATTTGTTACAAGGAATTAACACTAGTACCACTGTTGAGACATTTAGGCATTAGCTGATTCGTTAGTCCAATCCCATGTGTTTTTTTTTTTCTTCGTTTGTTTGTTTTTCTGGGGTTTTTTCATGCTGTTCAGTCCCATCTGAAGAGCATGTTAGGACAGAGAACCATCGTACTCCTCTGGGGTCTCCTGCACGTTTTCACCAACACATAAGAGAAGACATAAACATGGAAACTGCTATTTTGTGATATGTAAACCTAAAAATGACTTATTTATCTCTCTAACTCTCTGTGGTTTAGCATATTTTCTTCATGCTGTTATTTTTTTTTTGTAAATGTACAGTTTACAATCCACAAACGTGTGCTTGCTGCTTTTGATGTAGTTCTGACACTGTGTACAGTATGGAAGCCTTATGGTCATTTACTCCTCATGCAGTTTGAGCCTGTGGGGGAAGAATAATGAACCTGCTCATGAAATGTTTACAGTGGAGGCACATAAGACGGACCAGCTACACTACATGGCCTCATGCCTCAAGGTCTTTGCTTTTAATTTGTGTCTAAAGTGCAGAACTCAACCCATCAGTGGAGTTTAGGAGAAAGGTGAGAACAACTGTGACTTTAATAAATTAACAATGTTTTCCCCTCTTGGCACATACAGGGCTTTTTAAAGAAAGACAGTGGGAAGGAAAAGTAAGGGAACCTGATGGAATTATCTTTATTTATGTGAAAAAAAAGTGTCTTCAAAGATGCTCAGATCTTCATCTAAATTACAATACTGAACAAACACAATGTATTTTAACTAATAACACACAAATCATTGTATTGTTCTTGTCCATGTTAAATACATCATTAAAATATTCACAGTCTTGGTTGGAAAAAGTATGTAAAACCCTCGGCTAATGACACAAACAAAAGCTAACAGCAGTCGGGAGTTATCAAACCTGGAGTCCAACCAGTGAAACCAGATTGTTGGTTTGGGTTAGACACTTTGACTCATAAAATACACACACAGATTTTGAGTTTGCTGTTCAAAAAGAAACATCTGCTGATGTGAATCATGCCTCACAAAAAAGATCTTAGAAGGATGAAGAATTGTTGATTTTCAGCATGAAGCTGAAAGGGTTATAAAGTCATCTCAAAGAGATTAGATATTCATCAGTTCACAGACCACAAATTGTCTGTAAACGGAGATGATTTAGTTCTGTGGCTACTCTCCCTAATGGTGGGCGTCCAGTGAAGACGAGCCCAAAAGGCAGAACGCAGAATGATCAGTGAGGTAAAATGAAGCCCAGAGTCGCAGCGAAAGGCTTATAAGAATCATTGGAGCTGATTAACATCTCTGCTTATGAGTCTGCCATACGCACATCATGGTGCATGGTGTCCTGCCATGGACACCACAGAGGAAGCCACAGAAACAAATCGCATACATGCCTGATGTTTGACAAAGAGCAGCTTGACACTTCACAACACTACTGGGAAAATGTTTTGTGGACTGATGAAACCAAGGTTGAATTGTGTGGGAAGAACATGCGGCACCACGTATGGTGTAAAAAAAAAAAAAAAAAAAGAAAGAAAGAAAGGAAAAAGGCCACTGAATACGAACATGAAAACATCATCCCAGAGACAAGAGGGAGCATTATGATTTGGGGCTTTGCTTTGGGGGTATCTGGTAGGATGTCAGGGCAGCTGTCCACCTGCTAAACCTCAGGAGAAGCAGGGTGATGCAGCAGGACAATGACCCGAAACATCAAACAAAATCTACTACAGAATGACTTCGGACAAAGATAATCCGTTGGAGTGGCCCAGTCAGAGTCCAGACTTAAATCCAGAAGAGATGATGTGGAATGAGCTGAACAGAGCTGCTCACACCAGACATCCTAAGAATATGTGTCGTCCTGAACGTTGTGCAGCTCTGATCAGCAGCTACTGGAAGTGCTTGTTTGAGGTTATTGGTCCCAAAGGAGGTTCGAGCACTTATTAAATCCAAAGGTTCACTTACTTTTTCCACCAGCTCTTTGAATGTTTAATGCTAGTGTTCGATAAAGACACAAAATATTACAATTGTTTGTGTGTTACTAGCTTAAGCACATAGTGTTTGACTACACTCGTGAAGATCAGATCACATTTTATGACCAATTGATGCAAAAAAAAAAAAAAAACAGGTCATTCCAAAGCCACTGTCGCACAAAGGCCTTGACAAAGATGACTTGAAGTCAAACCAGAGCACCAGAGAGAGAGAGTCCCATTGTTTCAATGTGACAAAGTCATCTGGAAAACCTTATGTTAAAATCATGAACATTACTCAGTTTGTACTTTTGGCTATTTCTTTGTATCATTTGAAAATATTTCCATATGTAGCGATCAAGATGTGTCCTGCAGCGTGCTGGATTTGCTTGTTCTTTTGGAGCAACTGCTTCCAATCTGTCACTTTGTAAACAGTTTGTGAAAGTGATGGGCACTGGTTTGTGTGCAGTCCAAGAAAACTGCATCACTGGCATTTTTTGGGGTATCCAAGTAGTACACTTCTGCTAAATAAAAACCAGTTGGCAGCATGTACTTTAATTGTGGCTTGTAAAAATAAGTTCATTTGGAAAGGTTGTGATGGAACTGAACTGTTGTATTCCACTGTAACAATAACCAGACTCTATCCACAGTACATACACAGCCGATCACCATCTGAACTTTCAAAGGGAGACCTTTGTAAATATCTTCTTGGACTGGCTCAAAGCTGGAATGTAACGGATTCTTGCTTCTGTGCCAAATGTGCTCTCTCTCTGTTTCTCATAATCGCTGAGATACGTTGTTCTCCCTCTCACCTTGCCAGTGGGACACCTATCACAACATCTGGGCAG